GGGTGGCGGCTCAGCCTTTTGGGGCACATCTGGGCCCTGGATGGGGTGGGTTTGGCTGTTTGCTCCCAGGATGGGAGGGATCCTGTCCCCCCTCGCCCCGTCCCGGGCAGGGTGGGGGGGGGCCTGCAGCGGGTGACAGGAACCCCTGGTGGGTGATGGGACCTTGCGGTCGCTATCAGGGGCCATGTCCCCTCTGGCTTGGCTTCTGTGGGTGGTGGGGACAGTAGCCCATGGGCTGAGGGGTGGGCTAGGAAGTGGGGGTCTCAGCCTTTTGGGGCACATGCTAAGCCCTGGATGGGGCGGTTTTGGCCGCTCACCCCAAGGACCCTTTGCCCCATCCTGGGCAGGGTCTGGGGGTCCCACAGTTGGTGACGGGACCCATGGTCCCTCTTGGGGGCCATGTCCCTTCTCGATGGGCTTCTGTGGGTGGTGAGGACAGCAGCCCGTGGGCTGGGAAGGTTTGGGGGGCACAAACACGATGGCTGGTGCCTGCAGCCCCATCTTTGTGTCCCGGCAGCCCTACGCCGTGGATGGCCAGATCAGCCCCCAGAGCAACGTGGACTTTGACCGCAGCCTGAGGCAGAGGTAGGAGAGGGGGGCTGGGGGCCCAGGGCTGCTGGTGGCCCGTCCTGCCCATCCTGTCTGCAGCCACTGGGAGCTCCCTCCCAGCGTGGTCCTTCAAGATAAGACCTAAGGCAGCTCCCAGGGGGAGCCCCCTCTATCTTGGGGTGCTTTAGGGGCCGCGGGGGCGAGCTGTGTCCCTCCGTCTGACCCTCACCTCCCTCCCCGGCAGAAACCCCGCCTGGGGCCTTCGGGACACGGCGCTGCTGCGGCAACTGGCTGAGGCCAACGGGCTGTGCCTGGAGAGGATGGTAGGTGCTGGAGGTCCGTGGGGGAAGGGGACAGTTCCTGCACCCCGCTGGGGCCCTCCCCTGACCCCCGGCTGTGTGCTTGCAGGTGGACATGCCGGCCAACAACAAGAGTCTCATCTTCCGCAAGCAGTGACCTGCCCCACGGCACCCCCCGGCACGGCCGCCCCCCACCTCGTTGATGCCTCCTGGAGGGGTCCCACCATCCTCTCTGTGGCTGGAGAGCTGGGGAGGGGGCAGTCTCCCCCAGCCCCCTCGGGGCTCCCTTTGCAATGGGGTGTCTCAGTGTGGCCCAGAGAAGCCACCACAGCTGCCATGGGGGGGCACAGGTCGGTGGAGTGGGCACAGCACCCCCGGGCACGGGGGACATTCCTTGCTTGGTGCTGGTTTCCCCAGAGGACAGCGTGCAAAAGGTTGGGGGGACCCATTCCCCTCTTTCCCCCCACCCCGGGACTGTGCTTCTGCCCCCTAATAAACTCTGGGGCCTTGCCCCCCCCACCTGCAGCAGCTCCCCAATGCTTTCAGAACTGACACCGGGGGGACACGACATTCCCTTCTGCCCCCCAGAGTGTCAGTGGGGAGTCAGATCCTGCACCAGGAGGACCTGGGGGCGCCACACTGGGCATCTTGGTGGGGTGGGAAGGCTTTTATGGGGGGGTGGGGGTGGTCCTGGCAGACCTCCCACCCCTCTGCAAC